AACACCGTTAATACGACCAGCGTCTTGACTGTGCGCTTTCCTACCCTGTTCGTTCGCCCCTACCACCCTATAGCGTACTTGCTGCACTCGTCGACGTTTCCCTTCGTGCTGTTCCCTCAGGTTTTCCCGAATCGACCCTTCTTTAGACCAAAATCCTCCTGCGGGTGGTGTTCTGATTCTTTGGTGGTGCTGGGTCTAGCTTTCGTTGCCAGACGGACATCGAAGCAGCTAGGCCCCAACCGCAGTGGCTGCCATAGCAGGAGGGGATAACGGCGACCCCCGTTCTATCTTGAAACTCCTGCCCGAAACAACTAGACCGTGTGCCATTCCCGAACGAATCGTGTCTCCTTCAGAAGTTACACTGTTCAGTAGCAGCAGCAGCAGCAGTAAGGCAGGCGGGATGGACAAGGGATAGATACACACACACCCGCGTTGGCAAGCGACGGATGGGTGACGACCACAGAAATGCGCCAATCGTTGTTCTACACATGAACAGAGTATTTTTCATACTGGGCATTCTATACGCCCGCCGATACATCGACGTTTAGGACTGAGGTGCTGGCTAGGGCTTATAACGAGCCTTATTTGCACAAACGGTACCTTCATTTGTTTTTCGTTCAATCTTTCATAGGCACTCCAAAACTTGTTAAATATATAAAAATGCATGATTTATTTCAATTTACCGAACTTTGTACCAGTGGGACCAGTTTAAATAGGCGTATTGTAAAGTAATTTCGAAATAGATAAAAAGTGTCTTAATCGTTTATTGATTATTAGAAGATGTCTTTGGTCGCACCAGGCACGACTCTATCTACCAGTGTCGGAAGGTCACCCTGACGATTTGTGTTCGTTTGCTGGTTACTATGATATTATACTAATGATGCGCCACGTATCTACTACATTTCGGTTGTGATAGTCAATTTTCCTTGTTTGTTTCTTTGCCAGCTTGCGTCTTTCCCTCAAGTGACGGCGCCTCCTGCTATCCGTCTAGCGTCCCCAGTCACAAGCGCCGCTTCTGCCACCCGGTGGCTGCGCGATGATGACATTGGCTTCAGATCTCCTGTTTCTAAACTGGAGGCTGCCGCCATTGCTCGCTGCTCTGTGACCGATTCACTCACTGGCGCTTCAATTCAACTGACTTGACAAATGGCGACAAGATGCTTAGTTACTTAGTATCTCTTATTATTTTCATTATGCACTGATAACTTTCCCCTCCCCTCCTCTTTTGCTCACTTGCTCTCGCGGTCTTTCTTTTATTTTCGCTAGCATTGACGCTAGCACGTACCGTTACATTGATAATTTTCAAGAATCATTCTATAAAAATTACCACTTTGATTATTCTTACTTCTTTCGTTATTGTATTCGTTTTATTCTCTCATTTTATTTACATATTCTACGTGTGCTTTTTTCGATTGCGTTTCGCCAGTGCCGCTCGGCCCGGGTTGGAATCGTTTCGATCGAGGTCGGTTGTTGCTGATCCTGATGTCCGTACAGGTCCGCTCAGTCCGTGACACCATCCATGACAGACAACGACCATCAAATAAAAATGGTTTCTAAGACGATGGCTTGTCGGGCTATTATCTCGCTGAGACTTGCGGGAGCTATGGTCCCGTTGTGCAATAGCTTTGCGTCAGCAATAACTGATTTTGATGTTTTTTTGAAACATCTACGGCCGTATCAGCGTCAATGAGCAGGCGTGTGCCGATCACGAAGCGGCAACGGTCGAATAGGCAGGCGCAAATTGTCAGTACGATTAAATGACGCCGTAGAAATAGATCTCGTCGTTCCCGTACTAGATGTCAAGTGGCAGATCGTCGCGAGCTGACACGGGTTCCACTCTGATCTTGGGGCTTGTTGTTGTTAGGGCTCGATCTTTGTTTTCAACCATTCCCCCTTGCAGTGTACAATGTTCCTGCAAATACGGCCCGTGAATAGTCGCTATTCAGTTTTGGCTCGTGTTTATCTTACGAGCAAAGTAAAGACGCAACAGGGCAACATTCAATTGACTAGGTAATTGAATTGGAAATGAATCGAGACAATTATAAATCGATGCGACAGGTTCATCGAAGATATGATTTAGGCCTTTTATAGTATGCCCCATAGCCTTAAAATGATTTATTATACCTAAGATGCAGCGAAAAATTCAACGTTCTACTAAAACTGTAACAAAAGTCGGTAATTATACTCGTCTCAGAGCTGACTAAACCCTTTGACATACCAGCAGCAGCATCGAATCGCAAAATATCTATTACTATATAAAATATCAAGCAATTAAAACCCCTCGTTAGTTCCTAAGTATATAACTTTATAACACGGATCCACAATGGGGTCTATTCCGACGATTGTATCCATCAGTGAGCTGATAGTGGGTTGAATAGTGAATGGGGCTATTAGTTGTAAATAGGTTCAGGATTGCACGCACACAGGCACAGGCGGACCTACAGCATACGATCGAGCACTGCAGAGATAGGCGTGGCCAAAGAGGTTACTGCGAATGGCAAGCGCTCTTAGGAGAACGGACTGGCCGTTAGGGCTTCGTTAATATGTTGGGCCTGTTCATGGAGCTAACCAGCAGTCCACTTTCCTCTATATGCTTTCTACCGCTGCCACGACTCGCTCGTATTAGCGGGAGTCGGCCTAGTCCATCCGTTTGTTTTTAACGGTTACCCCACGGTAATACTGTAGCGGTAGCTTATACTGTAACTGTAGGTAGCCTAAACCCTTTCTGGCTGCAGTTCGTTATTCTGGAGTGCTCCACGAGATTGTTCTGATCTCAGCAAATATCCGCTGTGCGAACTTACAAGGGATTTCACAGTAGCAATTGTGCGGAGTCTAATACAGTGGCACCCACCTGCAGAGTGGTAATAATGGTGAAGCTAACGACGGATGTTGACCGGGAACGGTAGGGACTGTTCAGGCGTCAAAGCTTCAAATACACAAAGCGCCCTTTACATACGCCGTCATGTCTGCTCAGTCGGGGTCACGGACGGCCGCTAGTCCTTTCCTTTCTCTCGCCCTCTCGCTATTTCCTACAATAGGTAGCTGTGGGTTGCTTACCGGCTTTCTCTGCCTCCACTTGATCTAGCCCCAAGGGTTAAGCCGTAGGCAAAGGCGAAACCGCTCGTTAATAACGCCAGTACCCTCCTTTAAGACAGGGCAGAAACACGGTAGACAGCCGGTCATGCCCGAGCTTCTTTTCCATTACACTCTTTCACTACGAAGTTTCAACACCAGTGCTGAATAGAACTGCAACAATAGTACCAGCGGTAGGGCTCTAATTCGCCAAAGGAAGGCCGCAAAAGTTACGCGGGGTTAAGGGCTAAAGGCGCAGATTAAGGGACGGCGATGGGCGAGACCAAGTGGCATCTCGTAGGCATCATGTTATTACCAGTAGGTCTTTAAGTAGACTGACTGAGGTTAGCGTGTTTTCATCCCTATTTAATAAAAATGACGGCTCCACAAGCTGTAGTTGCGCGTCCTGCTGCACCATTGGCATCGGGTGAGCACGTCCTACTCATTAGGGGTCCGTTTCATGCTTAACAACGAGCAAGCAAGACTTTTTAGTAAAGATGGCAAAAAAGGGTTCCTTGCCAAAATACTCATGTATTGTTCTGATCATAGATGAATGGCTGCTGTTAGACAAGTACGTCACGTTTATTCGACTCTTATATGTCTATTGCGCACTGTGATTGTTTGCCACGAAGTACTCATTTGATACTTATCTACACGGACAAGCACTTTTTTTTATATCGTCGTGAAACTTCGGTACGCAATATTTACCTGTGGGTGCCTTCGTCGAAGATGCTCGAGCTTTCTGTTGTAGGTTAGCTCGAATGGTTAAACTAGGCTGTAAAACTAAATCATCTGTGTTCATATAGATGAATTAACACGGAAAGCAGCACAGGCAGCGCCTAAAATTATGCTGTACTACTTTGTAGGACGCTCGCTATCCATTTGGCCAACACATAAATAGGACCTGAAATAAAGTACGAGCGTCGTCGCCATTACGTATCATCAAATACGTCGGTATATCGACGTCTTTGATGATATATAATGGCAGCTGATTTTTTACAACTATTCTCAGGTGCTGCTTCCTTTCAGCTTTTCCTCGTCCTTTTTCTCGTCCTTAAGTCCCCTCTCCCCTCTAACTACTACTTAACTCTTTCGGTTTGTTCTTAATCCTATTCTTACCTGTCCGTTATCGTCTGTCGTCATCGTAGCTCATCATTGCCATAGTTCGAGATACTGCCGGAATGAGGGGTCGGGTCGCATCCGTAAGAGGGTTCTCTTTGATCGTAGTCGTAACACGATTGACCTGAACTCCTCATGTCAATATAGGCTCATTCTTGCCCGCCTAGTTTTTTCAACGCTGCTTGACTTGAAAGCCTTTGAATGACTAACAGCAGCGATCCTCATCGTCGTCGCTGGAGCAATCGGCTAGCGACTGTTGCTTTATCCCGAGCTGACGGTCGCTGTTGTTGAGGCTGTTACCACTCTACCCGCTGGTGCTCGGTCGTCTCGACTGGGCGATTTCGTCCCGCTTATAGCCATTCTACTATCTTGTCCCGCGCCGAAGCATATACCCTTGAAACCCATTCCTCAGTCAAGTCGTCTCGTGCACTTCATTTCATATCGTTTTTTTCTTGTCGTTCTTCTTCGCTATTACGGTTAGTCGAATGACGGCGGATAATCTCATTCAACCTGTGACGATCCGCCTATCGACAGGGGAAGGTTCAATACAATCGGGAGCGTATAACGAACCTGAACATCTACTTAGTTTACGTTGAAATAGAATCGTTTCGTCATTACGTCATGACCGCTTTTTGAATTTTAGGAAATTTTAGGCTAGCTAATTGGACTATTGCCTATATGTTGGATCATGTTATGTTGTCTACTTATTTTTCGCTACTTTCGTCCTAAAAAAGGCTGCTTGGGATCCAGTGAAAGATCTGGTTCACTATCATTTCATTTATCTTATGATAATTTCTTGGTTTTTCCAGCATCCGCCAATATTACTGCTCCCCCAAGTTCATGTGCTCCGGGAGAAGTGCAATGACTCACCTTGCCCAAAAAACTATATATATATATATATATATATATACACATATGTATTTTCAAGATGAAAACGAAGCACAAATGGTCTTCATAATTTACTTCGTCGATGTTTGCCGCGAAAGTCATTGGGGGAGCTTCGACGAAGAGAGGATGCGTGATAAATGGAGAGGAAGCATGAGGCAAAGTCCGGATCATGAATACGTACTGTCTACTTGTTTACTCGTGTTCGATACCCGTGGGTATATGTGTCCTATGTTTACATACCTATCCGGAGCCGACACACCTTAAGAAGCCGTGGACATTTTTAGGTAACAAATAAATACCCAACCAAAATGACCAACTGACACTCCAATACCTCCGTGAGCAGATACTATTGATAGAAATATGTGTTTAATTGCATATACCTGCTCGCATTGTCTAAAAATTCTCAGCTGGCTAGCACGAGTCCAATTATACACTCTGCCTATTTTTACTAGAAATTATAATTAACTGGTTAAGTTATCGAGCGCTTAGGCACACGGTAGGCGCCATCGCAGCAGTGATCGAAGTTATAGGCCTCTAAACAAGGAAATAGCTAAAACAAGAATCGAATGTGTAGCATAAGCGGTTGCCTGACTGGATACTCTTCGTTTAGTTACCTGTGTGGTGACCTATTTTTTTTTTTTCTTAATGTTTTTTTAATATAATTTTGTCATGTTTCGTCAGCGTAACCTCATCCAAATAACGTCTAGCATTATCTTAGCATGTAGAGAAAAAGATGACGGTTGTCTGCAGCCATGCGGCTACGAAACATTATTACCATACACTTATTGATGCTGTTCAGTGTGTTTATGCTTTTGACGCTCGCCGATTTTGTTTTAATTTCAGAAGCAGCATCGGCCGCGAAATGGCTTCGAAGCGGAAGTCGATCCCCAGCAAGCTTCCGGCGGAGGCTGATTGCGACAAGGAACGAATTGTCACTGCTGACGGCAGTGGCGGCGGTAATGGGGAACCGGTGGCGATCACGCTCGCGACTTCCACACGCGAAAGGGTAAGCAAACGCTGCCGCTCAGCTCTATGTTGAGTGACCTACAAGCTCACAGAGGGATTTGACATGAAAGACGGTGGCATTCATGATCTCCTGTTCCCTTTGTGCGCCTTGAAGGAGGACAGAAGGATAGACTGAATATAGATAGAAGCAGTTGCTGCGGCATAATGGGTTCGTGAGTATTTGTGGGCGCTTTTATGTGTACCCAATATTTGAAATGTGCTCGAGCAATATTATACACACATGAAAAGATGAAAAAGACGAAGGGACTACCGGAACGCAGACCAAGCATGGGGTCGCGGCGACTCGAACGCTGTGCGGGAATCGCGGGTGTATCGGGCAGTTGCTAAGAGTGTGTCTTTTCTTTCTGACGTTTGCTTTTATAATAAACAGACAGAAAGATCGAAGGATAAGCATTATATATATATATATATATATATATATACAGGGTACATAGAGCATACAAAAAAGTTTTTCAATTCCGGCTTTTAGAGCAAACAGCTCGAACGCTACTTTATTACATTACGATTTGTAGCGCCCACACACATCTAATACATACATAGATGCCAAGCTGATACACGCGCACACACACACACACACGCACGCACGCACGCACGCACGCACGCAAAGCTTTTAGCTTATTCTAGATGGGGTCATTGTGGATAACAGCTGCAGTGCCATCACACATCGACAGCACCTATAGCGCCTTCCAGAAGTGAACAAACAGAAAGTCCTCGGACAGATGTGTTAACGAGTTTATTGATTTTCGGTTCTCCCGTTCTCTCTCCCTGTGTTTCATTCTCGTCCTGCGTATAATCTCCTTTTTTCCGCTCATTCTTTATTTCGGCTACTTTCTCCGGGAACTCTTTAAACTTCGAGAGAATCGAGCGTTTCTAGTAGGCCTATATGCCAAATGGCAGCCTTGGAATCCTTATCGACCAGCTTCGTGAATCTTGGTTATTGACGCGTTCAGTTTCATCTGTGCGCTGTTATCATTCTGAGTAGAAAAAGCTTTACCGCCGCCGTTAACGGGCAACGCTAGAGGCATCATAGCTTATGCTATCTGGAGAGACAAAAAGCTGTTATCACTGTTAAAATGAATGAACCAGGCTATATAGCTATGTAACCGCTACTCGGTGCGGCGATAGAGATTTAGACAAGGCAAGGCAAGAGCGTCTAAGACGCACTTAAGAATACCTAAATGCTTGGCGCTGGCGCGCCCATGTGCTGATTCGCGATCCCGGTATAGAGGGGAGTAAATGCGGTCGACGACACAGACAAGCGAATGTTTTTTTTGCTCAAGAGAAATCAACATAGAAAAGAATCATCTAACGACAAACATCGGTGTGTGTCCCTTTGAGTTTTCGAAAGCCTATCGGTCGTTTGTCGAGACAGGCAGAAAAAGGAAATGCTGAAACCGTCTCGAACTTTCGTTAGGCACATCGTATTAAGCCTAACATTTCGATAGAATAAGCTAGGTTAGTATTGGTAGTTCATTCAACCTTTGGTTGACTAGTGACGTGAACACGCGCGCTCGCTACCCAGACAATCCGGAGCAGCTGCAACGTATCTCTCAATTTGCTGGAAAGTGTCAAACTGTTCTCTTCTAAAATATGCTACCGCTACTATCAGCTCGGATAGAAGAAAAAGTAGCTTTTCATCAACTTCTATTGGGTCGTATTGCGATTAAAAGCGGCTGCAACCAACAATAACACGGTAACGAAACGTAGAGGGCACAATTCAATCAGCTGACGCGTCTCTTTTCCAAGTCTAACCTTATTGCCATGTACACGATTCGGTCGGCAATCCAATTGGTGGTCGGGCGATTGTCGACGTGTCGTCCGTTCGCTCGTACCATCGAAGCGTCGCACTAGAATCGTACCTCCATACAGTCCTGGCAATTACTTCTATATCTTCCGCGATTCTGCCAAAAGGTCGAAGGTCACTGCCTATCGTCTGCGGCGGCAAACCTATCTTCTCTAGAGCCGTTATATTGCGCTTGTCGTCGTCGTCTCTCTGCTACTTCTATTGTAATTGTCGATTTGGTGGCCTTTTTACTGGTCGCCTATGTCGTTCTTCATCGGATTTCAAATATCAATAAATGAGTGTGAAACTACTTTGAAGAGATGTTCACTCATTTAATGTGAATCCTGTGGGATCGATGCTAACGCCAACTGAAACACAATATAATCCAAGCCCTTCTTTTGATCTAATAACAAAAAAATGATAGCATTCGGCTTGCTTTTTTACTACTATGTCGATATATTAGTGCTTTAAGTCTACGATGACGATTGTTAACTGTTAACATGACTAGTCAGAGGATGCTGCAGGATAAGTAGGGAACGCTACACGTATACAAGGTACATTGCACACACAGCACTGGGTCCCACACCTAGTACATTAACAATAGCCACTTCGTGAAGCCTTATTTCGTCTCACCGACAGTATGATATACAGGACGGGGCTACGACGTTTCGCTACAATTTACGGAACATCACTTCTGAAGTCGTACTACATTGGACGTGTTTCTAGTACTAATGAAGAGGTAATGGCACCGCCGACACCAGCTAACCCGTGAGCTCGCTTTTTATCTCGAAGCAAAAAGGAAGATTCATCATTGTGTGGCTCAACTTTTCCCTCTCGTTCCATCCCTGATACGTAGCTTTGTTCCAGAATTTGACTATTCGGTGCTCGCCTATGGGCTTGTTTTTGTTACCCTAACGTTATTGTTGTTTCTGCTGCCGCCAACGACAAGCGCTGATCAGAATCCGCACAGTCTATCAAAATGTCCCATTAACGCAACTATTAATCCCTATATTTTTCTAGCTTTGTATTCGTCAACGCTGTTAGCCGCCACTAACTACTAGCCTGCCCTGTCGCTGTTTCGCTCTGCGTTGAGCGCGTACTCTTTTTTTTTTTTTTTTTCGAATCATCGATTTGTTCAATATTTGACCGTCTTACATTGCTTTCGCATCGCACATATTAAAGGGAAAGACAACAGCATCACGGCCTGGTGAACACTCTGAAGCAAAATCGACGACAAACCCCGCGTGGCGTAGCGCCGCTGCGAGGAGGCGACATGGTGGCAGCACCAGCGACCGTTTTGTATTCTCATTACTATAACAACGTTCTACTGTTCCGGCTTCTGGTTAATTTGTCATTTACTTCTTCGTCTGGTTCCTTTTTTGCGTCTAGCGTACTACAAGCGTATGACAACAACTAATGATACAGGCTACAAAAGTAGAAAGGCAAAGGAAAAGCGGACATCGGGCCTGTTAGGAAACAACCGCGACGATCATGCGATTATCACGTTGAACCCTAACGTACAACCTTTTGTTATCGTACACACTTTTCGCAGCATGGGCCCATTTATAGATTTACCTATTTGATTGTAGTCTTAAACGTAAACGTTTGTTCACTGTCTCCTCTGCAGACAGCCAAGATGGCGTTACTTTAAATGGTAATACTGTCGTATGTGGTAATAGTTACGGCCACTTTTCTCGAGCGAGCATCAATCATTGCGGTTACAAAGACAGTTTACCTTATATTGGGATCACTATGCCTATTTAGGTATAGCAAAAGTAATAGTTGTTTTTCGAATGCGGTCCTACTGCTGGAACCTTTTGGCTTCTGCACAATAGTTTGCGATGCTTTTTGAACCCGCTCAACCATAGCGAGCCAAGCAGTGCCAGCAGCAGACGATGTTTTGGTAAATCGCAAGAAATTGGAATCATTTTTATGTGGGCGTTGGCTTGGATCGTCGCCTGGTAGAGCTGTTACTTACAATGAGCGATTATTTAAGGTTGATGATGCTGTTCCCTTTGTTTGCCTGCCTGCCTGCCTGGATGCTATATGGTAAACAATAACGGAGACGTTTAAAAGCGCTCGTTCGTCGACGAGTGCGCAAATAACAGGGAAATGAGGTACTGATGATGTGAAAACTAATCCTGATCGTTGGCTGGTCGAACGAAGAGTCGCGCGGGGAGAGATGGCGGTATTACAGTCCGCATAACTTATATGCCCACTCGCGAACAGGACGTCGGATGAAGGGAAAAATAAGACGGGATTACTTGTAGAGATGGTACGAAGCTATGAAATCATATGGTACGGCGTCTTGGCATTGGAGAGCGTGATCAAATCTTTGTAGTTCGTCCCCTTTACATATAAACATCAGGTTGCATTGTACATGATAAATGAGTGCAGCACCTTTAAAAGTTTTGTTAAGATAAGAATTTTATTTTTTACAATTAAGGCAAATATAATGGTATATAATAAACAATGATAGTATATAATAAATACAATAATCTTTCAACTTAGTTTGAGCAACGATTGTTAAGGACAGGCATGTAATATGTTTAAGGTCTGAGTAATCGTTCGCGAACTACTTCATTCTTTAAGCGTGCCGCCAAAAAAATGTATAGTCCTGCCAATGAATCTTCCGTGCGTATGATGATGATGATGATGATGCGTCTATGTGTGTAATAGTTACTTTAATTCGGCCTGAAGTGTTTAAACGTTCGCGGTGAGCAAGTGGGTATTTTGTGGAACGGACGGTCGACTCCATATGATAGCAATGTACTCTCTCGTAAATTGTCCATATTAACCTCATGCTAGCAGGTCTAGTTATGTGGCCGTCAAAAAGATACTTTATTATAATAGTCTGACTCAATAATAACCCATCCTATCCGTTTTTCATTGCTTATGAATAAGAATTGGAAGCAGACAAACAAACAAACCAACAGAACTTCGCCGTCTACGTGTCTTCAACACGAACTGTTATTGAGATATATACGAATCTAACGCGACTACGATTATAATCCTACTACTTCGCTAGCGAACAGCCATTTGCTAAAGGTACCCCTGCTTGCGCTACGATATTATCCATACGCGTGACAAACTCTTTGATTGCGGTGAAATTACAGTTCAAAGAACTCTAGACAAATCTGCGTACCCTAGAAAAGAGTGTAACAGAAACAAAACAAGATGTAGCCTTCAAGACATAA